AATTCTTAACTTAAAACTGAGAATACATAGGTATCAAAATTTAGACGTAATTATGTAAATATACAAAAAAATTAATGGATTTTTTTTGATAAAATGTGAAGTTCATGTAAGTTATATCATGTAATTTGAATATTATCATTGTTATTTTTTTTTTGGTTAAAATGTTATGTTTATTTTTTTGTAATTCCTGAAATCTTTATAAAAGGAAAACATACGTTCTTGATTATACACTAATGGTTTGATATAATGCACGTTATTAGAATACTACTCCCTCTGTTTCATAATAAGTATATTTTTCACACAAATTAAAAAAACATATTAAAATTTCTCAAATACTCTTTAAATGCAAATTGACTTTTGGTGTTCTTTTATAAAGTTGAGGTTAAATTCGAAATTGTATACCAAATATTATATTGAAAATCTAAAACGACACTTATTTTAAAACGCAAAAATAATCATAAAACGACACTCTTGACGAAACAGAGAGGGTATTAAATATCCGAAACGAACCCTCATTTCCGGCACCGTTCCAGACACAAGCCTCCTCCATAACTGTCACAGTTCAATCCGGTCAGACGAAAACCAAATGTAGCAACGATTTGAGTCGATGGCTCAAACAAAACCCTAACGCCAATCTCCACATCTAGCTATCCCAGATCCAAGGATCTGCCGCTAATCATCACGATAAACAGTGACTCCTACCAATCCGCCTTCGACTTCTGTCGCTAGACGTAGCAGCCCCTCTGACAAGAGAGCCGTGAGCTTCTGGTTTTCCGCAAAGCTACTTTTTACTAATTAGGCTATTAAATTAACATTTTCATGATATTATGCACTGCATTTTTTTATTTTTTATTTGGTGCAAAGATACACTGCATTTTAGACTATATTAAAACTTAAACACGTGGAACTTTTGAAGATTATGTATGCTTCTAGACACTTAATGATGAAAAGAATGTTGACGGTTTTCTATGGAAAAAGTGACAAATTCAAAAGCTTAGTTAAAATGTCTTGAAACATTGTATCATATAGTAGAACATAGTCTTAACAAAATAGGTATATATATGATTTTTTTATCGCACTATATGATATCGGCAATTAAATATGGCTAATTATTAAACGGGATGATCTGGCCCAATAATTCAAACATCTTGATTGCTCATTTACTGGATATTTTTCTTCTAAATGAAATCTCTATCTTAAACATTTTAAGCATTTTGTTTTGTTAATTGCAAAGGTAAATATCAAACAAAAATAGAATGATGCGTTTGGTGTTTACATTTGCACTATAAAAAAATATCTTATATTGCCAGTTCGTTTGAAAATTGGAACTTGATCAATAATATCAAACTAAAGTGATGAATAATTTGTCCACGCGAGCCTTTTTTTGATTAGTATCCATTGATTGAATTATTTGACGTACACATACATTCGCCAAAAGAGAGTGAATTTGATTATTTAAATGTTAAGTATTTTCCCTGTTTCAGTCATTTTTTCGTTAGGTTGTGTGTCTTTTGAGGGAACATAACTTTATAGGCTATTATTACTTCAAAGTTCAAACATTTGGATAAAACCCTACATGCCTTTGTTTTTTTGGCTAATTCTTGCTATTAAAAAAGTATCATATTAATTTACAACCTATCTTGTATAAACTTTAAGATCTAAAGACGCCCTTTAGAGCAATACTTTTGATCATAATATTTAATTGGGTTATTAGAACACCTCCATCGGACAATTTTTTGGGTGTTTTCAAAATTTAGAAGAATAATAAAAAAAGAAAAATGACAATTTATACGGTGTCATATTGTGTCTGTGGGGAGACATTTTTGCTGGTTTTAGACACCGTACGTGGCAAGATGTTAATAATTTTATAATAATTTATACTTAAGATACTAGATTTGACCCGCGGTACACCGTGGGGCTATAATTTTTTTTTAAAAAATCTAAATATAATTAGTTTTGTTTATTAATAGAGAGTATAATATAATATTTTGACCTATTTTATAAATGTACCATCCATATATCTATATTAATAGTTTTGACTGTCACAGGTGTACA